ATTTTACCCAAATTCCATTTTCCTTTTGTGTTTTTTTTCTAACACCTACGGTTTTAGTATTTAACGATAATCTTTCTTAAGAAAACATTTGATTTGTCAAATTTCAGTAAATTGTCATGGAAATTTTAAGAAACGTTCAACAAACAGTACAACACCAGCATGGAAGTGCTTGAAAATCTGCTGGTAAATAATTTAAAGGCCAGATTTGAAAAGTAAAGGGTTTTCTTCACCTGTTGATGTCTCTGAGAAATAAGAGCTGCTGATTGATCGATTTGTTGTTTCATTGAAGTCCATCTGAAAAAAAAAGGAAAAAAACTGAAAAAACATCATTTAAAGTTGAAATGTTGCCACATATTAACCTGCAGCTGAAAAAATGCAGGAAGGAAATGTTATTTGATTCCAAGCTAAATTACAAGATCATTATTTTTGAATTGGTAAATTTATTACACAGCCATGATTTAACAAAACATGTTTTTCTATTATTCTACATTTTTATTACATTTAGACTGAGGAAGACTTTTTCAAACTTTGCAAATAGGAGGTAAAATTCAAAATTTCAATTAAATGAAGCAAAAAAAAAATTGAAGTTTCAGTATCAGATACTGTTAAGGTTTTCAGGAGCTGTTTTATCAAACCTGAGGGGAGATCTGAAGGTTGAATGAAAACCAGTCTCATGGCAAAAACAAAACAAACCAAAACAAAACAAAACATGAGCAGAAATAAAAAGAGCTGAAAAATAGGGGAAGAATGAGTCAAATAAGTGAGAATGAGACACAGAGATCCTCTAACCTCCAGGATGGTTTTATTATTTAAGCCTGGGTTTATTTGATTGAATGTCACGTTAAAGGGTTAAACTGTCTGATGTTTAAAGGGCCCAACAGTTTTAAAGCTGCATAATAAGAACCTGTTAAACTTTACAGCTCACTTAAAGGGTTTAATGTTGGCAGAAACAATGCTTTGTTTACTTCCACATCATTTTATACCCAAGTTAAACCTAAACCAGATATTAGGAATAAATTATAAAAACAATATAAGTGTTTTCACTGTTGTCATTTGAAACAAACAGCTGCTGTAATAAAAACATTTATAATTAACAAACACAATAAAGCAGTGTTTGATGTGAGAGACGTGTTATTATTATTAATATTTTATTATTATTGAATTTTTTTTTTACTAAAACCGCAGAAATGTTGAAGCTTCTGTTAAAATAAAACATTGTTAGTATTATTATATTTAGGACTAAAAAACCTCAAACAAAACAGAGACTAATTCTGACTTCTTTAAGAAATCAAGCTGGATAACCTGATAAAGTTTGAATGAACCTGAAACCATTAGAAAGGGTCACCTCGGACCCTCGGACCCTTTCAGCCCCTCGGACTCACCGCGCCATCGGAACAGTTGGAGCGGGGGCTGGACGCAGCGGAGTCCGCGCTGCGGAGCTCCAGCAGCGGGTAGAAGCCGTCCTCCTGGCCGCTCCGCAGCAGCGCCTGCAGGGACTCGATGTAGGTGATGGCGTTCCGCAGGATCTCCACTTTGGGCAGCTTTTGGTTCGGGTTCGGGTTCCGGCTGGGTGTAGTCGTGCAGCGCTTCAGGGTCTCGAAGGCGTCGTTGACCCTGCTGAGCCGCCGGCGCTCGCGCATCGTCGCCGCCTTCCTCCTGTCCGCGCTGGTGGTCTTCCTCTTGCAGGCCTTGCAGGCCCACAGCAAGCACCGGGACGCCTGGTGGAGGCCGCCCGGCGCGCGCACGTGTTCGCTGTCCCGAGCCTCGGTGTGGAGGAAGGCCGGCGGAGAGGATGAGGAGGATGAGGAGGAGGAGGAGGGGATGTCCGGCTTCAGTAGACCCAGCCGCGGGTCCAGGTCCTCGAAGAAGCGCATGTCGTTGAAACAGGGGTCATCGTAGAACTCATCTGCTGGGGGGACGGAGAGGGACAGGTCTGACAGGTCCATGACCCGGTCAGGGTTCGGATTAGAGCTGAAAAGTCCAAATGAAGGATCCGGTCCCAAAGGTTTAGAGTGGGTCAGCTGTCGACCCGGATCCTGCTCTTATACATCGGACTGGAGCAGAGGGTTGGGTCAGTGGTCTTGGAGGTCCGACCAGTCGGTTCGAAGGAGGGCCGCCCCGCCAGTCCACCCATCACAAGAAAAACCACACTGATGTCATTTGTCTTTTGTTTGTCTAAAACATTTTTTACTTATTGTTTTACAAAAAGATTTAAAGTGAAAATAAAAATCATGATAAGAAAAAAGAAAGCCTCGCTGGATCAGATGTTTTTATTTTAATTTATATAATAAAGAAACAGTCTGAACAAAATGAGCAGTCTGTTATAGAGTGAAAAATTAAACTGTTTAAATAAAAATATTTATGAAACAATAAAAACAAAAAGCAAAAATATTAAGATGCAATAAGAGAAATTAAAACATGACAAACGAGTTGCTGCTGGTCTGAAGAACAAATTTATGTGTAGGCCGCCACGAAGATGTGAGCATTTATAAATGGACGAAAAATAATAATATTTGACCATCACTCACTGCTGAAGGTAAAGGTAGTTTTGCATGTCTCTCTGTTAGTAAAATATCCACAGATCAACAAGTTATTATTTGATGACTGTTATAAACACTAAATGAACCATTTGAAAACATTCTTGTCATTAGCATGATGAGTCAAACATGTTTTGAATTTAGGAGACATTTATTTCAGAAAATGTTGAGTTAATACAAGAAAATAGTGTGAAAGTCATCAAAACAAACACAGAATGGAGACGGCATTGAGCCAAAAATTCAGATTATGTGGATTAATTTGAATCAGCCCAAAGTGTTAAGGTAATTTTGAATTGCAATATTTTGTGTAAAGCAGGGAAAACCATTATACAAAGTACATTTTGGGCCTCGTAGACAAGGCCCTAAAGCTAAATGTAACAAAACAAGTTGAAATGGCAACAACAAGAAAACAAAAAAAGACAAAACTGCAGGAAACATGGAGGAGGATTGGACATGGACCAAAATACTGGAAGTAAGAGACGAGAAGGGTGATGAGGAGAGTGGAGAAATATGAACTTTTTGACCTATAGGAAACAGGTGCAAATGGGTAGTTACAACAGGAGTAAATGTGTGGTTATGATAAGTGGAAATGTGTGGTTAGAACAAGTGTAAATGGGTAGTTACAATAGGTGTAAATGTGTGGATGGAACAGGTGTAAATTTGTGTGTCGTGCAGGTGTAAATGTGTGGTTCGAAAAGGTGTAAATGTGTGGTTCGAACAGGTGTAAATGTGTGGTTAGAACAGGTGTAAATGTGTGGTTCGAACAGGTGTAAATATGTGGTTCGAACAGGTGTGTAAAAGCGTGTTTATAACAGGTGTAAATGGGTGAGTCATGTAGGTGTAAATGTGTGGTTAGAACAGGTGTAAATGGGTGGGTCAGGCAGGTGTAAATGTGTGGTTAGAACATGTGTAAATGGGTGGGTCATGCAGGTGTAAATGGGTGGTTAGAACAGGTGTAAATGTGTGGTTCTAACAGGTGTAAATGTGTGGTTAGAACAGGTGTAAATGTGTGGTTCGAACAGGTGAAAATGTGTGGTTCGAACAGGTGTGAATGTGTGGTTCGAACAAGTGTAAATGTGTGGTTCGAACAGGTGTAAATATGTGGTTCGAACTGGTGTGTAAAAGGGTGTTTATAACAGGTGTAAATGCATGGGTCATGCAGGTGTAAATGTGTGGTTCGAACAGGTGTAAATATGTGGTTCGAACAGGTGTGTAAAAGCGTGTTTATAACAGGTGTAAATGGGTGAGTCATGTAGGTGTAAATGTGTGG